TCGTTATCTCTTCTCCATCCTTTTCTCTTCATTGTCTCCTTATCTTTATATTTCATCTGTCTCTATATTTACCTCTCTTCTCTGTCTCTAATTTTACCCCTGTGTCTCTCACCTTCTCTCCTCCTCAGTAAGAGAGAGAGAGAGAAAGATAGCCGGACCACCCCACCATAACCAGAGCTTGGTATATTACAACAAAGTGCCTTAAACTAGTGACCCCTGACGTGACATTACCCTTTATACAACGATTTATCTAAGTGAGTGATGTGTGTGTCCGTGTGTTGGTCAACAGAAGGTGGTGGGGTGGCGTTACATTACGTTGATATTATGTAGAGTAGACAATCAAGTTCACAGTCATATAAGTTTACATTGGTTCAGTGTGTATATAAACAGTGCAGGTATATAAACAATGTATATAAACAGTGTATATAGACAGTGTAGGTATATAAACAATGGTAAACAGTACGTCGACTCAACCAAGGTTTAACCCAAGAAAATTTTTATAAGCTTATTTGCATTGTGGTCATTTACTACTACACCACCACTACTACCACCACCACCACCACCACCACCACCACCACTACTACTACCACCACCACCACTCACTACCACCACTCACCTAACTTACTTAACCAGCGTTCAGTTTCTCAAAGGTTCGTTCACTGTGATTTTTATTCTTAACTGGAGATACAGAAAAACATTTAACTGGCTCTATTAAGCTGCGACACATCAATGATCTCATGATACCCCCCCCCCCCCCAATGATGTGTTGACGTATCTGACTCGCTCATCTGACGTTGAAATTGCGCTAAGACTTGACCCTAACTTGATGCGTTGTCTTAACACCCGTTTGGTAAAAATCGATATTAAAATGTTCTTTTCTCTGAGTCTCTTGAAGCATTGTAGTTTGACTTGAGAAAATAATAATGGTGGATTTGTTATGATAATGTTTACTATACCTGTGTTAGACCTTCACACGTCCAAGATGTACATATTTACCCAAAATTACATAATTATCAGGAACACAAAGATGAATATTATAAAAGACAGTTTTAGGGAACTATTAAGATTGTTGAGTGATTCTTCAAGTTGTGTTAGGAAGTGTTGACGTGTCTAAGGTGTGACGGCAACAACTAATGTCTAGTTTTATGATGACTTTACCTATACTGTACCGTTATGCTGTAATAACTGGACCCCTTATAATGACATACGCATTTTACGCGTATATGAATGTTACAGGTACGCCCCCGTCCAGGGAACGAACCCACGCCATGAACTTAGCCAATCCGAGGCCTTACTACTCCACCACCAGGCATGAATATTGATGACTGATGGCGGAGTTGTGAAGCCCCCGTGATGAAGGTGTTGAGGACGCTGGTTCGAATCTTAGACGTTGTTGATACCTGTAACTAATATATATCTCTATATATATATATGCTTTTATCAACACATGTCTTATTTAATAGATAAGAGATAAACGCTGTGATAGACTATAAGATTATGTACGTAATATTAGAGCTAATTCTCACAGCTAGAGTTAGCTTTACGCCTTATACAAAAACTTATACAAAACTATTATTAGGATTTTTATGATCATCCCCAACATTCTGGGTTGTTTGTTTACTGTTTGCTTGTTTAGTGTTGGTATTATGTGTGTCCAGTAATGTTGACGCCATTGGCAGTAATTCGCATTTACTCTCTCTCTCTCTCTCTCTCTCTCTCTCTCTCTAACTACTATTTCGCATTTTCTCTCGTCAGTATTCCTTTAAATGGTTGTATATATAGCAGGAGGAAGGAGGAGGAGGAGGAGGAGGAGGAAACGAAGTAAAGAGGAAGAGGAAGAAGTCATATCAACCAATAATATTTCCTCGTCTGTGTTCATAATCCTGATTTAATTTCCAGGATCAGAAAATACAGTTTTTTTTTTGTAACCAGGACATAAACTGTTACTAGTCATACATTTGAAGTGTTTTAATACTTTACGTAATTTTAGTACTGAAGTGTTTGTTAACTTACGTGTTTGTTTCTGACTTACGACGTGTTTGTTTCTGACTGGGTCCAGATGTAAAGCTGAGAGTCTTATAATGCGGTGTGTTGATGTTTCCTCTTAACTAAGTCCAGATTCTCAAAGGTTCGGACAGTGAAGAGGATCACCTGAAGATTAGACACTCCGATACTTAACCTTATTTCACCCCAAGGTTAACCGCCCTACCTTATTTCACCCCAAGATTAACCACCCCTCCTTATTTCACCCCAAGATTAACCACCCCACCTTATTTCACCCCAAGATTAACCACCCCACCTTATTTCACCTCAAGATTAACCACCCCACCTTATTTCACCCCAAGATTAACCACCCCTCCTTATTTCACCCCAAGATTAACCACCCCACCTTATTTCACCCCAAGATTAACCACCCCTCCTTATTTCACCTCAAGATTTATTATCCTAACACTACCTGCAGGGTTAGATTATTTTAGGTTAGTATTGGGGTGGTTAATCTTCAGGTGAAATAAGCTAGGGTGTATAATCTTCAGGTGAGTCGATGTCTATACCCCGTAACTCAGGATATAAGAATGTATCTAACTTGTTCACTTAACCTAAAACACGAACAATAATGTGATAATTAATATACATAAACTCTGCCTTAAGGAAATACATTCACTTATACAGATTTAAAGACATTCTGTATTTTAATTTTGGTCTACTAACTGGTCAAAAATGAATGTATCTAGTTAAGAGAGTCTTGGTATAATTTTTTTTATCCTGATTAAGATAATGTCTATAATATCGATGCTAGTGTTGTGTTTTGTCTAAGTCAATCAGTTAAATACATTATTACGTCTTCACTTACGAGGAATATATTTATCGTACGAGCTTATGACTGAACTCATAGTTACGTGACGAACTGTGAGACTCTTAGCTAAGGACTGGTTGTTTGTTTGTTTGTGTGTTAACCTCCGTGATGCATTGTATACCTGATTTGTGAATAAATATACACATTGATTATTGTTTGTTTCATAATCTGTTTAAGAAGTGAAAAGAGAACAGTAATAACTACATAAGACTGGGTGCAGAACCAAGTGGCTACAGGACATATTTAATATGCTCGTCGTTGGAGTTGTTAACATCGCTTCACCAACTAAAGTCTTTAAGGCAG